AAACCGGATCGTACAAGCATGGTGGTAACAACAATAACAATAACCATGAAACTAATTGCTCATCTGGCAACTTATTGATAGGCCACTCGACGTAACTTTTATTATACAGTCTCGCTGATCTGTACAGTGTGATAACTACAAGCAATAAAGGCAGGACATCAATCGTGTCGTTTGACAATGAGACCCACTGTGGCGTCTCTAGCGTCCAGTATCCAACTGCATATCTTAGACACTACATATAGTCAGTCAGTTGTCGAAACACACGATCCTTAAACCATAGCTTTGATCATCGTTTGAGCAACGTTCCCTCAATCATGAACTTTAATGAAGAATGCTCAAAAAGAAAGGTCATCCATATCGACGTAGAAATACCAGAATAAATTTGCCACCGTTTAAACCAATTTCTCACAGTGAACAGGACTAAGTGATATGAGGGGTGGCATCGATTCGTTTGTTGGTGTGGTCACTCCGTGCATCTTCGTTGTGTTTCTGCGCTCCCTTCGATGCCAGCAATTTTCCGGCTATAGGAGGCGTATCGCGTTTAGCCTGATCCGTATCACTGCTGATAGCTATATGTAGCTTCTTGTTGAGTGAGTTGCAATTTTTGACAAAATCTAAGCATATAAATCAGCTGAATATTAATATCGTAAAATGTAATCGAAAACGAAAATATGGAAAGCAAAACGCGAAGTCCATACCTTGCCATATTTGTCTCAGCTGGGATATCGTATAATCCGACAAGCTCCACTACCGCATATTGATCTTCTTTAATCCATTTCTAATGACGGCAACTGTAGCTTCATCGGCTCAAAGTTCACTAATAATGATCAATGAAAAAAGTCATCCTGGGAATAATGACAACGGTGAACACATGTATCGGCCTTCATAACCTTTTTTTATTTCAATTGTAGGAGCAACAGCAGGACTAGGCGGTGTTCGTGTTATCGTCCGCAGTCGCGCGGGAGGAGAAGGACCTGACGGAGATTTGGGAGGAGGTTGTGTTGGGCGATATGGCCCGTGTCACCAAATTGCAGTCAGCTTCCGGTGACGGATATCTAGAGGCGTTGCGTTTCGTCCAGTATAATCATTTCACTTTGATCGGTTCAGATCTTTCACGAGTAATAACCGAACAGACGTTGTCTACCTACGTCGCGCCTTGTGTCTCAATGTAGCGTCGGCCGGCCGTGTTATATGTTATTTGTCGTAAAATACTGCAGCGTTCGGTCGCATTGCTTCGACCGTAGGCTCTGGTAGTAGTCGCCGTAACGGTAAAAACAGTAACTGAACGCTAGAAATGTGCGTTGTTACCGACGCCTGGGTCTTCTACTATTCCCTCATCAAACGAAAGCGCAACAAAACATCGCTACCTAGCTAGGTAGCGATGTTTGTTGCGCTTGTACCTGATAACGATTGTAATGTGTGGTCGTACGCATGATGAGGTAAGGTCATATTTTATTTGTTTTCTAAGTGCCCATAGCATGAACTGTCGAAGGCTTGCCTAGTTCAACGGAATGGCTTTAGTTCTTTTATGATGCTTTGGTCGAAGTTATTAATTTGCAGCTTAAGACGACGGCTTATCGAATAAGATTGGGCCACCGTTGACCGAAAGCGTCTCTTAGATTCGTCCCGGCAAAGTAACGAATTACAGTGGTTTGACAAGCGTTTCGTTGTCGTTCATATTCAGGCGCGGTTGTACCAATCGTCGTATTTTTTTCTAGATCCAACCCCAGTGCGTGGCTTGGTCGTAGATTCATTTGTTAGAAACGTAACGATATAGCCGATGAAATCGAACGGCGATGACCATCAAACATTTCAGGAAAGCGCATGGAACGAAAAGAAGCCTTATTGATTTAGATGAGAGCCAAATAGAATTACCGAATTCAAGATCTTGCTGAGCTGTGGCACTACGAAAGCCTTACCAGCTAAACCTCGGGCGACAGTTGTTAGATTCGGCAGCCGAGATTGAAAAAGTCTTCGATTTAGCTATACACGAAGTTGCGTTTCATACTAGTAACATATTGTCAGGTCTGGAAATACGTAATATGGAAGTAAAAGAAGCGCATAGTTTTGTTTACGAAATCCCAGTTGAATTTCAATTAGACAAATACGTAATGCCTGAATAAAGAATGTACCAAAGACCTCATAAGTACTAGTATACAGGTGACATTCGAAGTTGATTGGCTTGGAAGTTATGCACAACTGGAAACATCACCCGCTTCATTAATAAACAGCTAAGTTTGAAGATACGAGTTTGTGGGTTACAAGCGTCGCGTAAATGAAAAGCTTCTAAAAATGTACCTGTACTTGGAAATATCGCACTTTTGTACAAGTTCATCGCAGCTTTCTGTCAGAATGGGCTTATTTCTGCGTCAGAACCAATTACAACCAATACAAATATGCCTGCATGCAGCCCTACATGATAGCTCCGGTGGCATTCGTTCTACCGCATCCGAGGCAATACGAAACTGAGTCATTATAAAGTCAGCCAATACAATACAATATGTATATTCTAATTACAGTAATAGTCATAATGATCGAAACAAGATTGTGTTGAGTTTATAATTTGTTTATCTGTGCGATACGGTTCTGTCCATGGTATTTATTCGATAAGGAGTAAAAAATATGCTTCTATCCAAATGGTCATTGAGACATAGCAAATGTTCGCTAGAGTCACTGGCCCGAAGATCGATGGGTGCCTTTTCTTTCCGGCTAACGAAAGCCGCAATGAAGACTACCAGACGACGGTTTATTTATCCAGCATCTAAACAGCTTAAATCATTGGTGAGGGAAACGAATTTTGAGCTGCTGTTATATAAACGGATCACAATATGCACATATGTCAACTGCCATCAAAACAGTAATCCTAATAGCAGCATTTCAGGCCAATCAGATGTCGTTTTGCACCTTTAGGCCATATTGTTATTATTACTGCCATGCGGATAGTAGTAACCCTGGTACTTCTAGCCTGAACAGAAAGAAGATAACGGACCAATTGTGAGTCACGTTATCACAATAACCGTTACAATGTTTCCCCCCGGCACCTCCAAACAAATCATTCCGACCCAATAGGTTTAGTTCATTCGCCCGGTGCTACTGGATATCAATCGCGTGTATCGAACGAGACGTTTGTATGCGATACATAGACGTAATATATGATTCATTAACTTGGCATACTTCGATATTTTGTCTTATCACTTTATCAGAGGTCAACCGATGTATAGTCTCTGATATTAAACAGATAGAATAGTAGTCGCTACTGTGTTCGGTACGCACGATATTGTGCACATCTGTTGTGCTCGACTGATTGGCTGCCTTCAGCCCGACGACATTGGCTGAGGTGCTTTTAAAAACGGTTGACTTCACAGAACTAACCGGACCCGCCGTCGTTCTAGTTCATTCAATTTGTGACGAGTCGACAAGTCGAGATTATTGACGGTCGCAATCATCACCCAAAAATAGTGTTTTGTCTAGGAAGTTTTCCGAGCTTATTTAGGGGGTGTAAAGCGTCCGTCTCAAACAGCAGTAGCGTCAACTGTATCTTGCCTATTCACAGTCAAGTGGTTGACAATTGTTGCTGCGCGCACACAGACGCTTTATCTAACAATATGTAGCAATATATGATTCAATTTGATGAGTACATATATAACCATTCAGTTTGTACTGGACACTCGGGCGACCGATTTCTCCTGAAGACGATCTTGTTAGTTTTACCTTTATTAACACTCGTTGCAGTAAGAGACCGTGCAGTCATTGCACGACAATGGACTCCGCTGGTGCTAGCCTTACCGGAGTGCTTTCGCGCACTGGATGCTGAGTTAGCTTCAGGCAGGATTCCCTGAGGCAAGGTTAATTTGTAGACTGTAAATTAACCTCATTGGGTTAAAATCTGCTCCTATTACTCACAAGATCCAACAAATGTCTTCGACAAATTACTAAATCACGCCGTTTTTGGGCGTACACCCATCTTATTGTCTCGTGCCATTTCTAGATTGTCATCTTCTAATTCAGTAAGTAGAAAGGCTATTCTCTCGAAGTGGTCTCAAGAGATTTACGTACAGTCATGCAGACACATGCTATATGTGCCTTTATACGGTATATAAAAATAAGGTTCGTGCGCGAATTCAACCCTGTAGCTGCTTGAAACCGCTTTACACAAATGACTAAACATTGTATTCACAAGAGACTTAGGATGCAAACTTCCCAAGTTTGTAACTGTAGGCAGGACATAAAGGTGAGCGGCTACTTGTCGAGCTTGACTTCTCTTAATTGCACGAAATTTTCCCTGGGAATTTCACGTCCATCTACGGCTGCTCTATTTAGGACGCTGTCATTGCCTAACACGGCTTGTAGTGGTTATAATTATTTTCTTTCGATTCCAAACTCTGAGTGAAGTTCATTATAGATATAAAAAATGATTAGTGCATGCCCATCTAAGAATTAAATTCTTTCTTACGGCATCTTTCTGTGAAATTTCGAATTTTTATGGAAAAATAATAAATAAATAAATGTTTCTATACATTATTTTTGCTAAGTTAATGCAAAAAAATCGATGCACGTAAGCTATCGATGATAAACCAATTACCAGCGGTGAAAGTAAACTAGCGGGTAACGATTGGAAAGGCTCGATCGTTTGTTTAATGCGCAAAAATATTTATATGGATAAATATATAATCCCTAATTTGAATTGTCGGCTGTTTGACTGCGGTAGCCTGTCCTGCACAATTTGTGCGGGGTAGTAGAGTTGTTTATCATGGGAGTGTGCACTGATCCACACAGAGCGTGTACTAAGAACAGCGACGCGTTTGCCAGCGGCCAACACTTCCCGCACATTTCTTTGTTACATTGATTCCTTCTGTGGCGGAGGCGAGTAAGTGGATATGCGTAAGGCGATACTCGCATAGCCCGTGGGCGGAGGGCGAGGGGCCGGTTGTTTTTCCTATTTAGGGCCCCTATCATCTGACCGCGGGACACAAGTTGTTGGTCGCAGGTCGACACGTCAACAAAACGACAGCTTTAGTAGCCATAGTAATCAGTTAACAAGCAAGAGAAGCGAATTCATAGAGTAAGAGATAAGTACAGCCATGACCGCTGTAAGTACGCTGAGTGCAGATCGACTTTCTGTTTTTTTGAACTGGCCATGCCCCCTATGGCCCCCGTTAAACAACCTAACTATGATAGAGCGATGTGTACAACTCTAATGTGCATGACGTACTGACTGGATATGTACAATACGAAGTGGTAAACCTTTAGCAACTCATTCCGCTGATTCTAGTCCAGTGGGTCTCTCAAGGACACACTGGCTTTCCTTTCGGGCCATGTGTTTTCCCTAACCTTCAACGACGGTATTTTCGCTTGTGTTTCCTATTTTAACACTATTGGTGGGTTTAAAGGAATGAAAACTTACAAGTGTTTATCTCTCGGCAGATATAATAGTACTAACCTAAACCGTACTTTGAACGTTTGCTCCCCGTTGGGTGTTCTCAGACTGTAGTTTCTGTTTTCGACGCCTAATTAATCGCTTGCGCAAGCATTAGATTCTTAGCGTTTATACCTTATTCTTTTTCCATATTTCTGCTCATATTATAATCTACGATGATATTCTTTTCAAGAGATCGGTTACAGCAATAGTTTCAAGACCAGCGACAAGGAAGAGCGAGTTTGCATCGTCTCTTATCTTTAGTTCCCTCAACCTTCTTCCTATGCAAACGCCACCTTCTGTCAGACTAACTAGCTATCTAGAAACGTAATCCACCCTGTATACAGATACATGCAAAAATGCCTCGTTGCACAAAAACGCTTCCGCCTTTATTTAGCTTCGCTCGTACCGCGTAGTTCTTCTCTACATTGCACGTGATACGGTCTGCTCTGGGCTAGCTAGTTTTGCCCCAGTTTCAAAACAGTACCGCAGCTGTCTTGTGTACCACGTACCTTAAAAAGCTGATCCTCAATTTCAAGGGTGTGTTTCTATATTTTCAATGACAATTTTTAATCTGTTCTCTGTTTCCAGTTTGTCGTAGTCGCCTTCTTGTTCGCTGCCGTCCAGGCCGGAGGCGTTGCCTATGAAGGACTTGTTACTGCTCCCGCCTATGGAGCTGCTCATTTAGCAGCCCCCGTCGCTGCTGTTCCGGTTGCTTCGCACGAGTACATTGCTGCTGCTAAGACGTTTCCTACCCCAGCTTACGATTATGCCCATGCCGCTCCTGTTGCCAAGGCAGCAACCGCTGTCCCTGTTTATGGATTTGCGGCTCCGGCTATTACCCGCTCTTCCGTAGCGAACTACGCCCCTATCGCTAAATCCGTCACATACGAACAACGCGCATATACACAAACTGCTCCTGTCACGAAAGGCGCTATCGCCGCCCCCGCTTACGGATACGCGCATGCTGTTCCCAGCACAGATAAGGCGACCATCGCCGCGCAGACCGCTTACACCAGCTACGCAGTTCCCGCCTTGGCCGCTCCGGCTGACGGTTATGGCACTCCCGCTTTTCCTGCACCCCTGACCAGGACCAGCTTCGCCGCCCCTGTGGCTTCATACAGTTATGCTACTCATACCCCCGCGTATGGCTATGCTCATGGTACGCCTGTTGCCAAGGCAACGACTGCTGCTCGTGTAGCTTCATACGGATATGCTCACAACGCACCAACTTATGACCAGGTAGCATATACTGCGCTCATCAGTAAGATGGCTGTTGCCTCCCCCGCTGTCACGGGTGCCTCCGTTGATTCGTACGGATATGCCACCAAGACATTAGCCGCCCCTGCAGCCAAAGCAGCTATCGCCGCTCCAGCCCAAGGGCATTATTAAATTTGTCGCTTCTCGAACCTAACCGGGGACGACTAGTATCAGATAGCCCTGTGATAATATCTGTCTATAAAGAACTACCTATATGTGAATGCACATATATTTTTTTGCACATAAAAGCGTTTGTATAAAAATCAAGCAAGAACAGACAGGAATAATCTATATAAGTGTCAATATGAATAGATGTGTATTGGGGTAATAGATAGATATACACGCATGGATATGCGGGAAACGTATTTTTTTATTTACAAATTGTTTTTGAGTTTCTGATATTTGTCTTTATACAATGATCTTGACAATTTTGAATACGATGAACTTAACTCATTCATCTGCAAGGATTCGTACACGTATTATGACACAGTGGAACTATGTCTTTACTGTGGTTGATAGGCCATGACCCTTTCGTTTCAAGCAAACATAACAATATTCATGTATTCAATAATATAACTAAATTTGAATGTCGTAAGTATTATCTCTTTTATACTCTTATCATTATTCCTTGTTTTTATACTCCGTATATGCATCCCTTGCCAACATGCTCGTTCTAAGTGACTTACTCTTCTTCGATTGTTGGCATCGGCTACAGCGAACTATGGAAAGTCACCGCTGCTTCCGTTCTAACCTGGAAACTACCTCGTAGAAAGAAGTGAGTAGTTAAAGGACTTCACTCACCGGAGCATCGAATTTTGCTGAGTGAGTACTGAAAATGTTCAAGTAGGAGTAAAGTAAAGGTTGTGGGGAAAAAGCGAACGGGCAGCTGCTGCGAGGATCGACAGTGCCAACTTAAAGTGCTTATGAAACGGAACGAGGTCCTAGATGCCTTTAGGCCGTGAAACGAACATAGAAGGAACACAAGGATCAACCTTGAGTTTTCAGTGCTGCATCGTGACTGAGGCGGAAACGCAGGTAGCGAGAAACGGGAACTACTGGCCGGAGTATTGATATAGAACTCCTCGTATCAGAGTCTTGATTGATTATCGGTAAGGCGCACGAGGGCCGAACGCAATCGTGGGACCAAATTCACACGCTTCATGGAGCGTTAACACTAAGGACCTGTTCATGAACTAAAATGACACATGCGTTTTCGCTATCCGCAGGCTATACGAATATTTTGTCTGTGGGTGCTTCTGAAGGAAGGCAAAAAAAAAAACGCTAATATTGTACTTGTCTCGGAAGGTGAAGAGGAAAAAATCCGAATCAGAAATGCTCTTTATATAAAAACGCAGTGGAATCAAAGATCACTGAAACTATTGACTAGCTAGTCTGGCTTGCGCGGATGGAATTAACTTAGAGCTGTTATCATGCCGCGGAAATGAACATTTATAGGTATAAAGACAGATACTGATGATGTATCGCAATTTAGCAAAACGAGTTGTCAATTCAAATCTGCACTGGTAATATAACGCAGCGCTTGACACCCAACCATGAGGTTGTATATTTGATGTCCAGTTGACACCCAGTGATATTTGCGTTATAATATTAGCATATCGGGCTGTGCCTTTGACAAAGGGGAATGATACTGAATCAGAAACTCTTAACACATTGAAAGGTATCCCCACTCCGTTACGGGTCCTAACATTGGCGTAGCCATTAGTGTTGGAAGATTTTTGCCCTGCGCCAAACAGATTGCAATACTAGAAGCCAATAGAAAAGTTTTGACACTTAAACATGTTACTGCCACTGATTTTCGCGTGTTGTTTCTAGTAAAACGGTAGCATTATCGACTCAATGCTAGGCAAGTGAAACAAACAAGCTGGATTCTAAGACGACTGTTTATTCGAAAACTAATACGTGCCGCTTGTCAAGAAATCTTCAAAGGCTATATACGAGAGGCGCTTAAATTAGGACAAACTTAGTGGGGTAACGGGCATGCGTTCATCCGCTACTTCTGACAGCACACAAAAACCATTTCTTTCCACGACCAAACAGCAAATTCGTTGTGAACAGCAACCATACGTTATTTCTGAAATTGGGGTGAAGATCAGCTGTTATCCAATCTTTGCGTTCTACACAAACCCTTTTGGTTCACTCAAAATCGACAGATCACCGTGTCGAAGCTGCGGAAAAAGGAAAAGGGCATGTTCCAGTACAGGTCAACATATAATCTACAACAAAGAAATGATAATGCGGGCCTCAAAATTAATCATTACTGCCCGAAGGTGCATTTCTAATTATTAATGTAAAGAAATTTTATGTGACTGAGCGTGAGGTGTTAAGACCTCAGGCGTATGTTATATGTCATAGAAGTCTGGCGGATGCTTTCCGGGGACAATAAAACCGGAGGACTCGACCGGTGTTGTTTACTACTCAGTTTTTTTCTCAAAAAGCAGCAGGTCGTTTTCGATCTTCTATAAGCAATTTTTTTTAAAAATTTCCAATGTAAAAATGAACCCTAGATGATTTATTACTCATGATCTATGGTATGCGCCTATAGTTGGGAAAAGTCTATTTTCGGCCGAAGTTCATGTTCTATGTACGATGCCCATAGAAAAATTCGTCATGCCACCCTAGTCCTTGTAATAAAACGAACGTATTATCCGCTTGTTTTGCAAAGTGGGGTGCATCCTTGTACAGCTGCAATGTCCGAAGGTAGACCATAGGTCTTCCAACAAGCCAGCTCGTGCAGGGTTGACTGCTTGAGAATAAAACCATATTCAAGACCAAGAACCTATGGCCGCCGAATAGCCCAGATTGATAACGTTCGCTTCGTATTCTTATCGAAAAGGCAGTTGCAAAAGGAACTTTTAAAACGAGCCGTTTACAACTTGAATTGAAGCACCAATCGCGTTGAGTAATCGTTATGTTGAATAAATATGACTGTCAAAAATGACACTTCCAGTTTACGACAAAAAATTGTTGAAAGATCTGTGTCTATTTCGGTACAGCCTTATAAATAAAGCATAAAAAAAAGTTACGATTTATGTGCCGTTGCCTGTTAATATTAATTTACTATCAAACCTGACAAATAACGCAATGACTTAAATATTTACAGTTCGCGGGTTGTCGCGCCTAAGTTCCAAAATGCATTCACGATAACTTGCTTTTCTCTATAGTAAATCCCTTACAGCGCTAAAAAATATGCAGAAATAAGTATCTCAAAATACGTTCCTCAAGATATATTCGCTGTCTTTAATGAATAACCTTGTGTTATATTTCTGTAGATTAAAAGAAAATCTGTCGGTGTATCGGATCAATGTTCATCCTGTTGTATTTGATTTTAGTGCGGTTGTTGGTGGCTTGCCACGCTCGTAAATGGTAATGACAAGGATCTTAAGTAGATATAACTCACGGGTGTTGGACAAAGGGCGGAATTGACATACCGTGAGGGGTGGTACCGCGGTTTCCTGAGCCTGCGCTGCTCGCTGTCTGTGGCGCCGCGCTGTAGAGCAAACAGTTGGAACGAGTACAATTCGAGTCGGAATCAGAGTGGTAACCGGCGCTGACATCTGTCGACGAATCATCTTCAGGGTCGTCGCTCGCGGCTCCTCCCGAGGGCTCGACCTCTCGCATTAGCTCTACGACCTATTAATAAGTTAAGGTTGTATTTGAACGTTCGCAATGAAGAAAATGCTTTTCAAATTAAAATGGCATAGAATTATAGGTATAGACATAGAATTTGTACGACCCCTACTTAACTCGTGATTAGTTTCTCATTTACCTATATTCTATATTTTTTATTTCATATCAGGTACTAAGAATTGTACCTTTTGGCAACCCCACGAGTAACACATGAGTGCCGCAGACACAATGGACGCCTCCGCATCAACATCCGACGCCTCCTTGCGTAGCTGCGTGAACTGAAATTCAACATGACGAGTAAAAAACAACGTATAATTGATAGGTTTACATTAGCTGTGCGAGTTAAAGAGGAATAATAATACTTTTCTGTGATACTTTTTTGGAGACGTCCAAAATGATCATATTGAACATATTCCATATTGAAACCGTATATAATATCAGCACCGAACACAACATGCGAAAGTATTTTTATATGTTCTGACTTGTTCTACGTTTCGAACCGACTGCGTTTTATCTTTGCATAGGGTCGGTCAGCTTCCTGGATGTTATGTGGAAGCGAATTTCGCTAGACTGACGAATGGTAAAAAGCAGGGGCATGGTGGACAGATCGAGAAGGAGCCCTAATGTTTAGCTGACCCTAGAAAAATAAATCCTTCGGCTAGTTGCTTTACTTTTCGAGAGTGAATCTAACTTTACCTTGGGGTCGTAGGGGAAGCATTAACAGACTTTTTAGGATTTTGTTTGTTAGGTTTGTCTTAGCCATTTTTCTTCTTGTATGCTTGAGCTATACAGGGCAACGAACTGTAAATAGTAATCAGGCTGACTTGGACTCAAGAATCTTCTAAGTAAAAGTAAAGAGAAGTAGACCGAAATCCTTAGAGTTCTTCGACAGAATTTCCGGGTTAGAACTGAGCCCAATAGGGAGGCTAATTGTTAATTAACTATTTATAAAAACAAATACGCGCATGGTATATGTACACATGTAAATAAGATCCGGGCATACGTATATAAGCTTTCAGCACTATGTGAGAACACCTCATTTTTACTGCGCTTAACTGCGTGTTAGACATACACTGTGGACAAGTGGACTGCCCCGCTCAAACGTGTTACTGGGAGTTGGCTCTTCCCACTGGATGCACCATGCTCGGACCCCGCCTACCCCCAATCTCTTCAGTTTTTACTCTGATCTGCACAAGATCTCGACGGCAATCGACCGTCTGAGACATGGAAAACCAGAGACTGGGTCGCCCTTTAACTCCTCTTCTTGACCAGATATGTGCAACTAAAGACAGCTGTTTTTTTTTCTCAGTTGTTTTCCCATGGAGTCGAACGGTGCAAAACCGGGCCGGTAGATTCCGTGCAAGTGAAGAGCAGTGCTCACCTGTTACATCTGCGTATCGTGAGAATCAGCAAGCCGGCCAAACTGTTGTACTAGGACTAGTTTTGTCGGTTTCCACCGGCTCAGACCAAAAGAGGCATACAACTATTTTGCTTCAGATGTATGTCCTCTTAGGGACGAAACTCCTCTTGCCTTCCTATAGTTTTTGCACTGCAGCAGATGCCAGACAACGCGGCCTCACTTCTGTACTTTTGCGGGGCAAGAAGGTGAGCACAAAGAAAGAGAAAAGGGAATTGGGCAAGCAACAGACGGAGAATGCTGTAGGTCGTGCACCTATTATTCACTGTCGGAGCGGCCTTTTCCCGTTGTCGGAGGATCGTCACCAGGCTAGTGAGCCGGGAGAAACTCGTGCAAGCGATTGAGAAGCGACTTCACGAGAGAAAAAGGATCGAGAAGAGAGACAGGGCGGAAGGGCGTCAAACTAGTGAGTGCTGACTGAACAAGTGCTTCTGTGTGTGAGTGTATCTGCAGGGAAAAGAAAAAACACCGGTGGTCCAAGTAAAGGGATGAACATCGGGCGCATCCGAGTGCGAAGTCTGGTGTGCGCTGATAAGTTTTTCCCAAACGTCTGCACCCCTGCATCCAGGCGGACCAGCCCTGGGAATCCAATAGTCGAACGCTATGGCCGGACTTAGGTAGACGGCAGTCAACAGCAAGCTCGCGCCCACAACGTCGTCCTACTAGTACGTAAGTACGTATATACGGTCGGACACCGTTGACGGCCTCCTGATACCAGTGCGTATAGCGGGATACAGCTAGTTCGCTCGGAGCCATGTTTTGACTTACTGCGTCGGTACTTCTAGTACTAACGCAGGCGGAAATTCGCAGCAATAGCAGTACTGGCAAAGGCGGCAACGCCGCCAAAAACGATAGCCGTCTGAGCCGTCAGCCATCTGCAAAAAGGACAGGACTGCTAACATCACATCGACACACATTGCATACAGATATGTATGTGCAGATTTTGACGACGCGTCTAACATTACCGTTGTGTTAAGGTGATGTAACGGTTTCTTTACTGAAACAAGCAGCGACGGTGTATGCCGCGAATATCGTTATATGTGATCGGCAAAATAAGAACGCGACTATAAAAGGATTATCGCCATTATTGAGCTTCTACCTTTCTATCTAAGAGTAACATTTGAATAGTAGAATCTTTTGTTGGCTGCAAGGTACTCCAACTACATAAATATAGAGATTTTAGCGTTTTGCCGAAATTATACTGAGCAAGATCATGAATTAACGCCTACAACGAATGCAGTTTCGTTTGCGTGTAATTATGACATCTATATGACGGTTTCGCAGTCCATACCGATGGTAGAGGCTGAAAACAGAAGTAGCAATAATGGTAATAGTAAACAACAAACGACATTGAAATGAATTATTCATAGCGTTAAAATGTGTGTCCTGCAGGCTTTTTCTTTCTTTCTTTTTATTGTATTGTATACAACTTCTGGCTAGCCCTTCTCCGTTTAACAATAAGCTTTGGCCGTAACGATTGAACGTAATATTACGGAACTGAGTGGAAATAATAGTCTATGAGCCAATATAAGAGTCACGTTGAGAAAAGTACTTATATTCATAACAATAGGACAACTGCTTCTCATTTTGCCTAAGAGGCCGTCGAAGCCGTGAATAGGACACGTCTCTCATCGGCTGTTATATGATCTAACCTAAAATACTTTACTTTGTTAGCACCTGTTTCTAGCGCTGCATCCATGTTTAAACTACCTAATATTCGGTGATTTGTGATAATGAATAATGTTATATGGGTTTGATTAAGGGAGAAGGGTGGGAGAGTTAACTTAATTAGTTTGAAAATTCTTTCAGCTCAAAGCAGTAGATAGAAATCGGGAATACGTATTTACTCTATGGTACTGTAGGGAATAGAGTGGGTTGTTAAAAACAGTGTCAATCCTTTTCAAGCCAAAGTTGAAGCAGTTATTTTTTGATTTCGAAATAATATTACTAAACTTAAAATACTCCATCTTGATCGATGACTTTCTGCCACCCTTGGTGACATCATAATCCAGTTATTATGCAGCTTCTGTGACCTCTGGGTAGGAAATTTTAACGATTCATTTTGTGCGCCCGTCTACCCAAATTAAATCAGTACCATAAGGAGGTTCTGCAGAAACTGAGGCAGACAATGGTCTGGTGATGCAAGACCTGGCTATACGACAGGTCCATTAAAATTTCTTCTTTGAGTTTTTTCATTTTTGCCGAACAGCTAAAGACGTATGTAGTCTGGCTGTATTATCATGGTTAAAAACGACGTCCTTTTTGCTCATCACCTCCAGTCGATTTTTGCTCAGTGGTTTGTTGTACCCGTATTAGCTATTTGCAAGAAAAATTTAAATCAATCGCTTTGCTCGCCGGCAGAAACCCATAATGTACGATTTCTTTTCAATTCCAAAGTCAAAAAAATACAGCATTGCCTCCGTTGGCGTCAGTTTGGGTTTTGCTACAGACTACGTTCGCATCTTTATTTATTCTTTGTTTCTATCAATCACTCGTGACCGATAGCTCTAATGGCTCGATTGTGTTGCGTTTCTCTAGAGTTTCGCAGATGAGAACGCGGCCGAGTATACTTGTTTGCGCAAATTCGTATGGCAGTCAAATATCGATTGCAGCTAATTTCCTTATTACTGCCTATTTGCTTGACTATATAATGGCTATTGCACTAACTTCATCAACATTTTCCGTACCACTACCAGAAGCGTCTTTCTCCAGAGTGAAAACGACAGAGCTATTGTTTTACCGTTCCTTTCGGTAACGCATCAGGATAATAAGGAGTAGACGTTTTTCTGGATTTGAGCAACGTTTGTTTTGTATCGTAATAGAACTATAAAAGGCAGCAATGCTTTTCAGAAATTTCACCCGCCTTTAAAATACTCTATCTAATCTAAAGTTTGAAGCGACCCATATATTACTCGAGATATGTGACTTATCAACTACCTAGCTGGAGAAACGTTCCATATTTTTTGACAATCCAACATGAATCCGTCTCAATATTCAAAAAGCAGTCATTCTGTAGTGATCTTAACTTCACTAGGCATATTATTAGGACGTGACGGAGTATTACCAAATAATAAGTAACAATAAACCCCGACGCACCTTGTCCTTGATAATTACTCAGTAAAAATGTTAGTACACAAGGAACAATTCAAAAACTGTGATGAAAGTGTACTACCTCGCTTTTCACATGTAGGCTGCCATGTTTCTTCACAACTCCATAATAATTGCTCACTCAGGTCAGTTGATCTTCCTCTCAAATTCTGATATTTGCTTCTCATTTTTAGTTTGGCGATTTAGAATCCCATCGCGGCTGTAAAACTTATCAATTCCAGGTCTTTTCAAACGACACGTCTCATTTCAAATTTCCCGTGTTTTATCTGTATCGCTTTATTCGCTTCTCCGGCTACATCTGGCTTTGTTATCTTCACTTACCTTCACCTTAGCTCACTATTTACCATCAAGCTCCCTTTTCGCACTTATGCCCACTGTCCCCACTGGCCCTCCACCTTCTTCTAGGACACAGTTGACCCTGCTCACTTCTGACGGCCTTCCTCTCTATCCCTTATTTGTAGCTTGGAACCCTTTTGCTGCTTGCTTTAAAAGACTATCACTTCGAGTATTCAAGATCTCAATTATCATATGCCCCGTTATCCAAAAAAGCGTTGCTGTTATCCTAATTAGCTAGCTTCTGACTTTTAAGCCGCATACGGCTCAAATTCTGGGCCGCTTCGGGTCAGAATTGTCATTTAAAAGCCGAAATTTGACTGCAATAAATATGCTAAACTTATAGGAATGCTTTCATCCAGACTTAAGACACAGCGTTTATACAACCGAAATTTCTAAAAAAAAATGCGCTCAATTTTA